GAGAGAGGGAGACATAGAATCTGAAGCAGGCTCCATGCTCTGAGCTGTCAGCACAGAGCCCGATGCAGGGCTTGAACCCACGAACCATGAGATCATGATCTGAGTGAAAGTTGGACACTTAACCGACTGAGCCATCCAGGTGCCCCTAAGTAACTGGAATTTATTTATTTATTTATTTAATTTATTTCTGAGAGGGAGAGAGAGAGAGACAGTGTGAGCAGGGGAGGGTCAGAGAGAGAGAGGGAGACACAGAATCTGAAGCAGCTCCAGGCTGTGAGCTGTCAGCACAGAGACCGACGTGGGGCTCGAACCCATGAACTGTGAGATCGTGACCTGAGCCGAAGTCGACGCTTAACCGATGGAGCCACCCAGGCGCCCCAGTAACTGGAATTTAAATAAAAACTTAAAAAATATTTATCGAGCAGGTACTGTGTGCCAGGCACAGTGCTAGATACTTAAACAGAAATGGTCTTTTCCTTCCTGCAGAGTCTACCTGCTGAAGAGGGATTTTACAATAATTGTACACACAGATGGAAAATTTTAACTCTAATAAACACTTCAAATAAAAGACATGTAGAACCGTAAAAGTGTCTAGCAGGGAGAATTGATATAGTTGGGGAGGTTAGTGATGGTTGAATCAGGTTAAAGAATGAGCGGAAGATAACCAGGTGAAGAGGAGAGAAGATTCCATGTAGAGGGAAGAGCATGTCCAAAGGTCCTGTGGTAGAAGGCAACAGGACAAGCATAAAGCAATGGAAAGGATGCAGTGTGGCTTGAGCTTAGACTGAATGGAGTCAGAGAAGCAGTGACGCTTGATGTTTGATGCTGGCACTGGAGAAGCGTGTGTGTGCACGCATGTGTGTATGTGTGTGTTAGGGTGATGCGCCCTCATTCTGATGCTCTCTAGCTTATCTCCCGAGGACCCTGCAGCCTAGCGGAGCAGGGACTGAGCAAGATCACACTGCATGGATTCAACGTTAGCCAAGGAGAATGTGATAGAACTGATTAGTGCTGGCACAGGGGTACATCCTTGTCTGCCCACCCTCACCCCTTGCCTCCATCCTTCCCCCCATTTGAAATTCAAGACGCTCCCAATGGACTTTTTGTCTTGAGTGTGCTTACGGTGCTCAGAGCATCCTCTAATTAGGTTAGTGATGCCCACATCTTCACTTACACAGGCTGGTGGGGGGGAGAAAGTATCTGGTAATTATCTATTACAAAAATTTTTTTTTAACGTTTACTTTTGGGAGAGAGAGAAACAGAATGTGAGGGGGAAGGGGCAGGGAGAGAGGGAGACACAGAATATGAAGCAGCTCCAGACTCTGAGCTGCCAGCACAGAGCCCGACGTGGGGCTCGAACTCCTGAACAAGAGCTCATGACCTGAGCCAAAGTCAGACACTTAACCCACTGAGCCACCCAGACGCTCCAGTATGTTATCTGCTTTAAAATTAAAGTGAACACAGATCAATTTCTTCTTCTGAAACCATCTCAGTATCCTTTGAAGTGATTAGAGATGCGCAGGGGCACCACAGACCCCAACTGACAGTCACACTGTGTGTGTTCGGGGGATGGGCAGGCAGGGATGGTGCCGCGAGACTGTATCAATGGAGTCACGCCGCAGATAGGTCAGAGCTGACGATCCTTCATGCCCATTTCCTCGCTTTCCAATGTGGAGACTGAGGTGTTGAGGTGACATGTGCAGGCTCTCATGAGTGACAGAGCACAGACTGGAATCCAGGTTCCCTGGAGCCACACCCTGCACAGGATACCCTAGATTCCAGAAAAACCTGTGGGATTTTTTAAAAACATCCTCACTGTTCTGGGAGGGAAATACAGTTTTTGGCTGAGGCGCAGGTTAAATTCAGTGTCAAGATCGAGGTAGCCACTTTCTCTTTAGGGAAAAGGGAATTACCTTACAGATAGAACCCAGATTCTGGATTCTATGGGTAGAATCTGGCTCAGGGACAGATCCGAAACTATCTTTTGAAATCAGCTTATTCTCGGGATCAATGTGTGTGTGTGTGTGTGTGTGTTTAAAGTTTTTGTTTAAATTCTAGTTAGTTAGCATACAGTGTGGTATTGGTGGGTTAGTTAACACACAGTGGAGTAGAATTTAGTGATTCCACACTTGCATACGACACGCAGCGCTCATCACAAGTGGCCTCTTCAGTGCCCATCATTCATTTATGTAGCCCGGCCCCCCACCCCCACTCCATCAAGCAACCCTCAGTTTGTTCTCCACAGTTGAGAGTCTCTTTTGGTTTGTTTCCCTCTTCCCCCCGCCCCCCCGCTTCCCATATGTTCATCTGTTTTGTCTTTTTAAATTCCACACACGAATGAAATCATACGATATTTGTCTTTCTCTGATTGACCTGCTTCACTTAGCATTATACTTTGTAGCTCAATCCATGTCGTTGCAAATGGCAAGATTTGATTTCTTTTAATGGCTGAGTAAATATTCTATGGTGTGTACACACACACACACACACACACACATCTTCTTTATCCATTCATCCATCGATGGACACTTGGGCTACTTCCATCATTTGGCTATTGTAGATAATGCTGCAATTAACATAAGGGAGCATGTATCCCTTTGAATTAGTGTTTTTGTGTTTGTTGCTAACCTAGAATTCTCTCAATGGTTTTGCAGTCCCTCCCAGGAAGACAGGAAGAAGCAGAGAGCTCACTCACTGAGTGAGGGCTGGGAGCAGCAGGCAGAATTCCAATTCCGTTTGCTGCCTCACGTTTGGAAAACCTTCCACGGCCCCTTTCCAATGAGGGGTCTGGCTGGGAACCCCTGGGCTCCAGACACAGTGCAGACTGTCTGCCCGGGTCTGACTTCTCTCGCTAGGTCCTTTTTACTGCCATCACAGATTGGAATCTACAAACATAATCCTGTTCTTGTGTGTCGGCCCTTGATCCGAGGCTTCCATTTCTCCATGTCCACACTGGGCTTTTCTGCAGCTCACAAGCTCCGGTTATCACACTCGGAGAGCGGTCTGGCCCCCCCTTCCACACTGGATGGTTCTCTTACAACCAGGCATGATGCCATCCTTATGGTCGTCAGGTCAGATGGCCAGCCCTGGACGTGGCTTTGCGTGTGTGGTCTGATCTTGCAGAGAAGACTAGAAAAAATTATTTTCCTTGTTTCATGCCAACAGACGTATCTGTGCAGCCCAGCGTCACGGGGTTGGGAAAACGCAAAGCTATGTGATCTTTTTCTCCCGAGGCTGGCAGGTGGTTACACAAGCTGGAATCGTGCGGCCCATTGAACGTGCTGGCTTTGGTAACACCCCGCTTCTGCTCTCCGGAGAACACTGCACCCCGGGGTACGTTGTTGAAGACGAGAATCACAACTTAAGGAGCGGGTGAATATTTTTTAGCCCGCAAATTTTCATAAGGAAGAGTTGACAAGATCCAGAGAAGCGATAGAAAAGGCTAGTAAAATAAAATATAATGACGAAAAACAAAAGAAAAACTAATATTTAAGTTGAAAGGATTTGTAAATATTTTCGGTGCTGCCGTTTTCCACTGCATTCTTTTGTCCAGGACAGCTGAACGTGCCGAGTGCGCGCGGTTTAGTAAAAGGTGCTGCATTGCATAAGGACAAGTCAACAAAGCATAAATCCCAGGCGGTCACTAGAACCTGCCATCCAGCCCCTTTGACATTAGAACATTTTTTTTTTTTTGGACATTAGAACATTCTGCAGTAACCAGAAAGTTATCCAAGGCACCAAGAGCTGGAGATGAAAGAAAACAGTTCTCTTCTTGGTAAGAACTCATCCTTCAAATGTGCCTTTTCCATTGAGATTCAAAAGCACCATCCAAAGAAGACAGGGGAAAGGAGGGGTAGGTTTCATATGTCTGGAAGACTAAGAGGGCCAGTTCCCGCTCTGGATTTTTCCCAAAGAATGAGGTGGCCAATGGTTCATGAATGGGTATTTTCAAATTTCACCTTCTACACTGATGTGTAACATTTGGTAGGAAGAGCAGAGAACCCCACTCCTTTAAAAATTTTTTTAAAAAATTATGTGTATTTATTTTGAGAGAGAGAGAGAGAGACAGAGTGCGAGTGGGGGTGTGGGCAGAGAGAGGGAGACAGAACCCAAAGCAGGCTCCAGACTCTGAGCTGTCAGCACAGAGCCGGTGGCAGGTCTTGAACCCGTGAACCGCGAGATTGTGACCTGAGCTGAAATCACATGCTTCATCGACTGAGCCATCCAGGCACCCCAGAGAACCCCACTTCTAACCTTAAAACTCTGGGCTCCCAGGGTCACATCTGAGCAAAGGCTTTTGATGCTTGTGTGGAAGTAACTGTCTTATTTTAAAGGATTCCATTCTGACTGTAGAATAACCTTATATTTTTGCCACCAGTTTGAAACTATCTTTAGTTAATTGGACAATAATTCAACAATTGTATTTTGCAATTATTTATCATTTCCCCCTGTGACTTAGGCTTCATATGACTTAGAGTTCATATATAGCCTTAAACTTCTTGGGAACTGATTCCCTCCACCCCCCCCTCCACCCCCCGCAACAACATCCATTACAGAAATCTCTTAATAGATGTAGAAGATACCTCCAAATTTTTCCATGCTTGGTAAAAAAAAGGGGTTAGTTCCTTTCCTCCTTCAGAATATCCTGTTTGTTGGAGGACTGCTTTCCTGAAAGTCCCCTCCAGTTAGTCTGTTGTGAATTCAGAAATCTGTAAAATCTGATTCAAAAAGTTTGGTTATGTTGTGCTCCCAGCTTCCTATCCACCCCACTGTGGACCAGGCTCTGCTCTGAATCCAGTACTGGGCTCAAGCCTGCCCTATGCAGCAGCCTTACTTAGTCTTCATTCACCTGTCTTATCCCTCTCCTCCTCCGGCCACCACCAAGCACTGACGTCATAGCTCTAGTGGCGTCATCACAATGGGGCCACCCAACAATGGGCTTTTCCTAGAGCCCCTGAAAATGAAAGGATGATGAAGAAGAAGAGAAAATAGGAGGGAGGAGAGTTCAGGGGCAAGATGAGGAAGGAGGAGAGAGAAGGGCAAGACCAGTGAGGAACCAGCCATGCCTATTCTAACGGAGGCCAGTAAGTGGAGGCCAAGCCAGCTGAGAACTAGGCACCTGGAGAACTAGGAAGGTCGACCAGCAGGCCAAAGCTCCCATGAGCAGGGACCTTCATGCGAGGTTAACGACGGTGAATGAGATCCTGCCAATATGTCCTACAAAAGAGAAGGCTTTTTTCCAGCAGCTACGGTAAATGGCAGGGAGGGAGGGGTGAGCACAGTAAGGTTTGAATTGCTTCTCTGTCTTGTGTGTCAAAATCTCCCCCATGCTGGCCTTTCAGGCACAGAACACACTGGCGAATGGAACCAGGGGCTGACATTCAGGGACACTAAAGCCTATAGCAAAAAAAACCCTGGCATTTTGACTCTACCTTCTGCTAGTTGGTTTTCTCTGGTCTTTTATACAAGTCTGTAAATGCCTTCTCATGGAGTCCTTTTAAAAAAACAATTTTTTAAAAATGTTTATTTCTTTTTGAGAGAGAGAGAGAGAGAGAGACAGAGATCGAGCAGGGGAGGGGCAGAGAGAGGGAGACACAGAATCCGAAGCAGGCTGAGGTCACATTCTACATGTTCTTGAACTCTGGCCCAGTTTATTATGGGGGAAGCCCACTCACTGAAAGTCAGAACGGAATTTGTGAAAAAATTTGGGCAAAGACTAACTTAATTCTTTTTTTTAATGTTTATTTATTTTTGAGAGAGAGAGAGGGAGAGAGAGACACAGTGCAAGTGGTGGAGGGGCCGAAAGAGAGGGAGGCACAGAATCCGAAGCAGGTCCCAGGCTCTGAGCTGTCAGCACAGAGCCTGATGTGGGGCTTGAACTCAGGGACCACGAGATCATGACCTGAGCCAAAGTCGGATGCTTAACTGACTGAACCACCCAGGCGGTCCTTCATGGAGTCTTTTTAAGACTAATAAACCATGACCATATTATAAAATTCTAACATATAAAAATGATTTTTCAGGGGTGCCTGGGTGGCTTAGTTGGTTAAGCGTCCAACTTTCGCTTAGGTCATGATCTCACGGTTCGTGGGTTCAAGCCCCGCGTCAGCCTCTGTGCTGACTTCCAGCTCAGAGCCTGGAGCCTGTTTCAGTCTGTGACTCCCTCTCTCTCTGACCCTCCCCTGCTCACACACTCTCTCTCTCTCCTAGNGGTTCGTGGGTTCAAGCCCCGCGTCAGCCTCTGTGCTGACTTCCAGCTCAGAGCCTGGAGCCTGTTTCAGTCTGTGACTCCCTCTCTCTCTGACCCTCCCCTGCTCACACTGTCTCTCTCTCTCTCTCTCTCTCCTAGAAATAAATAAAATATTAAAAAAATGATTTTTCTAATATTTTATCTTATTAACATGGGAAATGCAGAGGAAATGCCATTCAGATGTATGTACCGGCATCTGACACGAAATGTATTTTGAGGGAGTTCTCCAAGTTTCCCTAACTCTTTCTCCCAGACTCCTTGGGCCTTTGGGTCTTTACTAATCATTTTATATTAAAAACACATGGCAATGTCGAACTAGCGATCCATTTTTTAAAAACAAAGCCGCAGAATTTATTCAGATTTCACCAGTTTTTCTACCAATTGCCTTTTCTGTTCCAGGATCGAATCTAGGCCCCTCAGTGACATTGAGGCGTCACATCCCCTTGGTCTCCAGCAGTCTGTGACAAATCCTCAGGCCCCGTTCTTTCCCAAGCTCAAACTCTTTCGAAGAGTTTGCATCAGTTGCTTTGTTAGAAGGTCCCTCGATTTGGATTTGTCTAATGTTTTTCCATGATCATGTCGAAGCTGGCATGTTATTGAGAAAAAGGTAACAGAGCTTACGTGCCACCCCAGCGCGTCTCACCGGGTGGGGGGTGCGTGGTGTCACACACATCGCCGAGATGTTCACCTCCACGGCCTGGTTGACGCAGTGCAGGCTGGAACTTTGCACTCTGACCTCCCTATGTGATTACTAAGTGTTTTGAAACCTTGGCGACCTTCTCTTCCCACTTTGGCCTTTACACACCAACCTTAGCTTCCACTGGGGTGCCCCGCCCGTGGCACTTATTCCTGTGGTTTCATAATGGTGATTTTCCCACTCCTCTGTTTTTCTGAACTTATTAACTGGAATTCTTTCAGGAAGTTAAAAGAAGTTGCTTTATCATTCACGTCTTTATTCGGTTATTACTTATATTTTGTAAACTTTTTTGAGTTATTTGGGTTGTAATCTAATAATGTTATTTTGTGGAACAAAGTCCAACTTCAGTCATGGTGGGGGGGGGTCTTTCAGGTCGGTTCCTGTACTCTTCTCACACACTTGCCCATCTTTTTTCTTTTTCTTTCCTTTTCTTTTTCTTTCTTTCCTTCTTTCCTTCTTCCTTCCTTCCTTCCTTCCTTCCTTCCTTCCTTCCTTCCTTCCTTCCTTCCTTCCTTCCTTCCTTCCTTCCTTCCTTCCTTCCTTCCTTCCTTTCTTTCTTTCTTTCTTTCTTTCTTTCTTTCTTTCTTTCTTTCTTTCTTTCTTTCAAAACTGCATTACTTTGTGGCCCCACAAGACCTTCCAGGAGCTTCTGCTACTTCCCCTGCTCAGTCCCTGGAATCAGTTCTCCAATGAACCCTAATTTCTTTGATTAGAAAAACGGTATTTTTTTTTTAACTTTTTAAATGTTTACCTATTTTTAAAATTTTTTTTAAATGTTTTATTTATTTCTTAGAGAGAGAGAGAGTGAAAGAGAGACAGAGAGAGTGAAAGAGAGACAGCGTGAGCAGGGGAGGATCAGAGAGAGAGGGAGACACAGACTCTGAAATAGGCTCTAGGCTCTGAGCTGTCAGCACAGAGCCCAGAGCGGGGCTCGAACCCACGAACCGTGAGATCATGACCTGAGCCGAAGTCAGATGCTTAACTGACTGAGCCACCCAGGCGCCCCTAATGTTTATCTATTTTTGAGAGAGAGAGAGAGGGAGAGAGAGAGAGAGAGAGAGAAACAGAGAGAGAGAGAAACAGAGTACGAGCAGGGGAAGGGGCAGAGAGAGAGGGAGATACAAGATCTGAAACAGGCTCCAGGCTCTGAGCTGTTAGCGCAGAGCCTGACGTGGGGCTCGAACTCACAAACCATGAGGTCATGACCTGAGCCAAAGTTGGATGTTTAATCAACTGAGCCACTGAGGCACCCTGGGGAGAACAGTGTTTAAAAACCAAGATGTGTGTGTATGTGTTTATTGCTACAGGAGGGCCGCTGTTTCTAGTCCCTCTCAGTGGAAAGAGATAAAAATATATGCATGTAGAGTAACGCATCTTTAAATATATGTATGTTGAGAGATCGATCTATCTATCATCTATCCATCCATCCGTCCATGCATCAATACATCTATCCATCCATCCATGCAACCAACCATCCATCCATCCATCCATCCATCCATCCATCCATCCAACCAACCATCCATCCACCCATCCATCCATCCATCAACTAACAAACGGTTTAGATCTGACTCCAATTCAGAGCACAAGATACACTGTAGCATTTCCTCCCTTTACCATAACATCTTCCTCCAACAGCAAGAAACCTCCCCCCTCTTATCTACAATTTAATTTACTTACATTTTCAACCCTGATATCCAGATATAGCGGTTTCAGAATTGTTAATCCATGCCCCTGTGAGGAATGTATTTATCAACTGGAGGACACTGTTGGCATCCAGTTCTTTTCGTTGTTAGCCTTCGGGTATCCAATCGAAACACATACTGCTGGTAATACAGCTGGTCATCGTCTGCATTCTGTCTTCACTCTTATATCCTGTTTGAGGTTTGAAATTTACCTAGAGCGGTATTCTTTGCATTGGACAGTTCGGAGGGTAGTGACCAATGCGTACAGTCATGTACCCTCCCTGTTTGCTGGATTTCTTGTAGACAGTAGCTAGGTTGTGCTGTTGTATCTAATTTGACAATTTTATCTTTTAACTGGTATGTATATATATATACATATATTTCTTTCTTTTCTTTTTAAGTGTTTATTTTGAGAGAGATAGAGCTCGAGTGGGGGAGTGAGAGAGAGAGGGAGGGGGAGAGAGAGAGAGAGAGAGAGAGAGAAAGAGAGAGAGAGAGAATCCCAAGCAGGCTCTATGCCATCAACGTGGAGCCTGATGCGATCCCACCACTGCAAGATCATAGCCGGAGCTGAAATCAAGAGTCAGATGCTTAACAGACTGAGCCACCCAGGTGCCCCTCAACTGGTATATATAATGTGATTTTGAGGTGGCTGGATTTAAACCCACCATCTTACTAGCTGTTTTCTGTTGTGCCCTCTGTTCTTTGTCCCCCACTCCCTTTTCTGCCTTCAGTTATGTTCATTGAACATGACTTTGTGATTCCATGTTATCTTGTTATTGACTTGTTATTTACTGTATCTTTTAACTGTTTTTAGTGATTTCTGAAATGCTTATAATTTTCATCTTTGATTGCGCTTCACCTTAAAATGATACGATAGCACTTCGTATGTAGGGCAGGGATCTTGCAGCAGAATGTCCTCAAGTGTTCCCTCCTGTACTCTGTGCTTTTACTACCACGTCAGCACACCGAGCATTGCTACCGAGTTTGCGTTAGACCGAGGGCTGATACGCAATGTCACCTGGGCTCTATCTGGCCCACCTCCTGTTGTTATAAATAAGGTTTTATTGGACAAAATCATTCCCTCTTGTTTATATATTGCCCATGACTGCTTTCGTGCTATAAGGGCAGAATTTAGTTGCAGCGGAGACTAGGTGACTCGCAACGTCTACGGTATTTACTCGCTCTCTTCCGTGGTTTCCGATGAGAAGTCTGCCATAACTGTTACCTTGTTCCTCTGCGTAATTTTTCTTTACTCTGGCTGTCTTTGAGATTTTCTCTTTGCTTTTATTTTCACTAGTTCAAGTATGACATTCCTGTGCACATGCATGTGTGTATGTGCGTATGGGTGTATTAGTGCTGATACTTCTCTTGCTTGCGTGCTTGGTGTCCTTTGAGGATCTTGGATCTGTGGTGTGCTGTCTGTCACCAATCTGGAAAATTCTAGGCCATTACTTCTTTTTTTTTTTTTCTTTATTTCACAATGCTTTATTTTTATTTTTTTTAATAATTTATTGTCAAGTTGGTTTCCATATAACACCCAGTGCTCATCCCCACAAATGCCCTCCTCCATGCCCATCCCCCCCTTTCCCTCTCCCCCACCCCCATCAGCCCTCAGTTTG